CAGAGGGAGAAGCAGGCTCCCCGCTGAGCCGGAAGCCCGATGTGGGACTCGATCCCAGGACTCTGGGATCCTGACCTGAGCTGAAGGCAGTCGCTTAACCAACTGAGCCACCCAGGCGCCCTAGACTATATATTTTTTAAAGAAGGTAAGGCACCATCATCTCTCAGGCTCCTAGTCTATCATCCCCCCTTTACAATCAATGTGGTTTATTATTTTGGAATAAAAGGAGAGTAGAGAGAAATAATCTTACTTTAGCGTACTTTTCATAACACTTTTAAGTTGTACAGACCCTCCACAATGACTCACACCATCCCCCATCCCACATAAACTTATGATCGCACAGACACAAGACACTTAGCTCCTCAGGATCCCATGATGCTCACCTACAGTTTCCTCCATGTCCTGAGTCATGTCTTAGCTGTTTCAGGCTCTCTAAGAGACAGCACCTAAGTATCAGAAATAGTAAGGCTAAAAAATTGAACAAGCAAGTTGGCAAGTTTCTCACAAAAGTTTCACATAAGGTTCTCTAAAGGAAAGTCCCTCCTCCACTTGATTGGCACAATGATCTGGAAGCTTCCAGCGATGGGCTGCTACTGAGGAGGATGATGCTGTATTCTACCACTATGACATTTTCTTGCTTCTGAGCTCCTGTTGACCAACAAAATGGCTGCATCTCACCAAATATTGTCCCTTGGATGGAGACCAGAGTGTCTGAGAAGGAAGAAATTAGAGACTGGGACTCAAAGCATTTTTGTAGACCAAAGGAGTTCCTCTTCCTAAACTTGGGTCCATTGATCACAAATTTGGGAATGGTTTTCAGTGGTCACTTTACTGGCCTGGTGTTGGTAAAGCCTTTACGGTGATCTTGTTGATTGTTCTACTTGGTGAAAGTCAGTCACACAAACTGGGCATGCTCAGTGGACCGGAATGCCCACCAGGGGCAGTTGAATGGAATGTCCAACTGACAGCAGCCAAGCAAAAGCCTTCTCTGCCTCCCCTTCCTGTTCCCCACTCCCCCTCCACCATTCACTCAGTCTGGGTCTTGGCCTCACTCCAGGGTCAGGCTTTTTTCTTTGATTCCATTCTCTCTTCCTGTTTTCAAATCATTTTTTATCACACCTCTTGGCTATAATGCTTTCAGCTTTACTAGTACAGACCTAAATCTGGTCCCAATGCCCCCAACCCTAAATCTATATGACCACAATTTTCAATGTATGCCCAGACTGACTGGATATTAATGAGGCAGGTGTTAGGGAAGAGGGTGCTAGGAGTCTATAGGTCTGGATGTGAATGGGGCCATGAGAAGGGGCTCATGACAATTCTCATCTTTGACTGCTTCTCCAGTCATTTTCCCTTCATTGGTGAAGTTTATTTCAGATTCATAGTTCAAATCCTTCCAACTAAATCTTTGAATTCATCATTCTTTTTCCAGACAGATTATTTTGCATTGTGTTTCTTATAGAGAACCTCAGCAGGCTTCTGGTTAAGAATATTTTGAGCTTCCCAAGTCAGCATCACTATTTCCCAGATTGTGTCCATAAGCGCTTGGTAAAGGGAATCACCTGTCCTGGTGTCCTTATTTAAAATGTTCATCCCCAGGTCCACCTCAGGCCTCGTAAATTAGAATGAGGGGCAGAAATCTGTATTTTTAATGAGCACCCCTAGTGATTCTTGGGCTTTACTCAAGTTTGAGAAATAAAGTCTGAGAAACATTGTCTGAGCTCATTGCCCCATTACCCACTAGGGGATAATTGAAAATTTAGCAGTTATTTGAAGGGTGTTCATTGTGGTTGGGCAAGAAGAGCAGCTGCTCATCTCCAGTGCCATGACTTGCTCACCCTTGTAAAATAGGGTGAGAATTGTTGGGTCCAAGAGGTACTGAGGCAGCCTGAAATGCTTAACATCTTGTAGGGAAAAATGACATTGCAAATTACATGCTCTTAGAATCTTAAAGAACAATGTGCAATAGAATCAATAATAAGAAAGCTAGCTATTTAGATAATTGCTATAATCAATTTCTTACTCTTTTTGTGAATGGTAACAAATGATTTTTCTAAATGTCTGTATATCAAGGTTTCCTTGATTTCATAGAGATTAGGGAGGTTAGGAGATGATTGATTTATATTGACTTTGTAATTTATTGGGGCAATCAAAACACATCTTTTTGCCAAATATTCTTTCAGATAAAGCAAATCCACCCATCGATCTCTCTTTTTATAAAGCAATATTGCAGATAGACTTTAAAAAGTCAAACTTCAAAACAACAAATTTGCTATCATTTTTATTCCATTTTCCTGGGGACATCTTGTTTCATTTCCCCATTATTTCCTATTTTTCTCTCTACACTAGGTTAACACAATATGGGTTTGATGTCTCCTAAACCCTAGGAGCACTGATTCTCAAAGTTAATAGGATGGCATGTGCTAACTAATGGAATATTGTTTCTAGATATCTGTTTGCAAGGGAGTTCAAGTTCAGCTTGCTAAAGAACTGAAGAGTCTCCCTGGGTGTATGGTAACCATTCCCTTTCAATCTAACTTGACAAGTGATACTACCTAATCCCAGAACTACTGTGCTCCCAAGTGAGGTGTTATCAGACAGGAACATTAATAAGGCAGTAAAGGCAAAATATAAAGCTAGGGGGCAATAGCTATCTATCAATGTAATATCAAAATTTATAGAAATTTACATTTTTGTGGGTTTAGTGGTTTTAGAGTACAATTCCTTTGAATTTTGACATGAATCCTTTTATTCTTTAAATGAAGTATTAGATTCATAAAATATATTTAAAATGAAATTAGACCCTGCTTTTTTTTTTTTCAGTCTTTTAAGACATAAGCCTAATCCCTTACACTCTGGTGTATAAAAGGCAAGTAATAGTAGATGATAATTTTTTTTAAAGATTTTTATTTACTTATTGAGAGAGAGAGAATGATAGAGAGAGAGCATGTGAGGAAGGA